TGCACCAGTCATGGCACATTGCAATATCCAGATCGACAGCGGCACACCAGAAGCCAGACGAGAACGTTCGAGGGCGCACGTGCGTAAGCGTGCGTATGTATGCGGGACGCAAATCGTGTACAAACATTACATGTACATGTAAAAGCACACACATACATTATGTGTACGCCGAACGTGAACAGGTGTCGATGTATGTAAGCACACACATTAATGTCTACGAACTCGTGCTCACATGTGTATGTATACGAACACACGCACGCATCCAGTCACGCAACCACACCAACACAAACGCACACACACACACACACACGCGCACACACACATACATAACGCGCCAAACATGTGCTCGCCCACACACACACACACACACACACACACACGCACATACACACATTTCCCGTGCAATATCCAGATCGGAAAAAGGCACCCCTTTCGCCTGCTGGCCGAGTGCGGCAGCCAGAGCACCCCTGGCTCGCGCCAGGGGTGCCTGCATGGCGTGGGCAAGTCCCCATCTTTCAGGCATGTGACATCGCGGAGTGTGCGCGCGCATATGCTTCCTACACGCATCGCCCTTAACCCACGCGCTACGCGCACGCATGCACACATTTTTAGCGGATGGTGCAATACCCAGGTCGGCCAGGCGCGCTGCTGTCGCATGCTCCCCGCGACGGCCACGCCCCCCCCTCCCCGCCGTGGCGCGGGCGCCACGGGGGCCGCGTTCATACGAGCGGTCCGCTCGATTGCGGCGCCGCGGGCCTGGCTCGTCCGCCGCCCAGGCCGATTGCGGCTTGGTCTGGTCGTCGCGATCGGCGCTGCGCCGCGTCGCGCGGCGCGTTGTCCGCGGCCAGCCAGCGCGGCGGGCAACGTCGCGCCCAGTGCAGCCCATTCGGGCCGCCCCGACGGTCTCGGGATCGCTCGCGATGGGCACGCGGGGAACCCGATAATCGCCCGCGGATGCGATTTTTGGGGGCGGATTCACCCCTCCCGCCCAGCGGGGCAGGGGGCGTCGAGACCACCCGAAGAACATTAAAGAACATTAAGAACATTAAAGAACATTAAGAACATTAAAAGAACATTAAAAGAACATTAAAGAACATTAAAGAACATTAAGAACATTAAGAACATCAAACATTAAAAGAGCATTAAAAGAACATTAAAGAACATTAAAGAACATTAAGAACATTAAGAACATTAAGAACATTAAGAACATTAAGAACATTAAGAACATCAAGACCATTAAAAGAACATTAAAAGAACATTAAAGAACATTAAAGAACATTAAGAACATTAAGAACATTAAGAACATCAAGAACATTAAAAGAACATTAAAAGAACATTAAAGAACATTAAAGAACACTAAGAACATCAAGAACATTAAGAACATCAAGAACATCAAGAACATTAAAAGAACATTAAAAGAACATTGAAGAACATTAAAGAACATCAAGAACATCAAGAACATTAAGAACATTAAGAACATTAATAACATCACAGTGACAGCAAGGTTCGCGGGGGGCGCGCGCTGGCGCGCCTGGGGGCGCAAGGGAAGCGCGCGTTGGCACGGGGAAATCGACGCGTGCGGCCGCGCGCCCTCCGAGACGGTCGCGGAACCCCTCGGTGCCCCAAAGGGGTTCCGCGGCGCCGTCGCGGAGGGCACGCGGCCGCCCGCTTCGACGCCCCCGCGCCAAGGCGCGCCACCCCCCGAGTCCCCAAACGCACAGGCGCGGCCGCACGCTGGGTTCTGGGGCGTCCTGACCCCCGCGGGACCGACGGCGGCTGGCGCCCAGACAGGGATCGCGGGCCGAGCGAGCGCCTGGGCGCGCGGGGGGGAGCTCGGAGCACCTACGGGGATGGCCCGTGCACATTGCGGGGCGGGGTTCCGCCGCAATGTATATGGGCCAACGAACCCCCACGGGTGTTCGAGCCCTCCCCGCACGCCAGCAACGCTGCGATCGGCCTGCGTTCCATGCATGGAGCGCTTGCCGCTTAATTCGCAGGGCACCCCAGACCCCGCAAACAGATGTGTCCAAGTGCGGCTGCTGCGGTTGTCGCGGTAGCAGTGGTAAAACCGTATGTCCAGCGAGTCTCGCCCCCGTCCGTGAGCAAGCCCTGGTGCACCTGGGCGGCGCTGTCTCTTGCTGCTTGCGCATGCGCGCACATGTGCGCCATGAGCACGCGCATGCGCGTGCTAACGTGGCCGCAACACGCGGGTGCACACGCGTGCACGCATGCTCGACACTTGTACATTGGCATGCACACGTATACGATTGCACGTGCATATGAACACCCGTGCACTTATGGACGCACGCGTAAATTCATACCCAATGAATATAGGAAGGCAGGCGCGCGCGCACACACACACACGCACACATACACACATATACACACAACCCTATATACATATATATATATATGTATATATATACACATGTATAAATACATGGTGTACACCTGTAGAGGTGCGTGTACATCGGATGGGTGGGCGAGGTTCGGACGGGGGCAAATGTGTAAGTCATTGCTCTAGCCCTTGTCACAGGCAACGTACTTATATACACAGATGTATATGCACATGTACACAAGTACCGTGCAAACACCTACCCGTGCGCGCGCACCCAGTATAGCGTCATGTCTTGTTTCATCACACGCCTCTTGGGATCGTCGTGCGATTTGCCCTGGTCGCCCTCCTCCTCCTCTTCCCCCTGGTTGTTCCCCTCCCCCTGCTGATCGTCATCCTGCCCATCCTCCCCGTTCTCCTCCTCATCATCGTCATGAGCTCACCTCCTCATCCTACTCCTCCTCATCTTCCCCCTCATCATCAGCATCCTCGGTTTGCCCCACCCTCACTCCTCACCCTTATCATGCTGATCCTACTCGCCCACATCCTCAATATGCCTTATCCTCATCCTCGTCTAGTCCTACCCCCATCCTCATACTAATCCTCCTCATCCTCATCCTCCTCATCCGCATCCCCGCCCCCGCCGTGTCTCACCCTCCTCCTAAGCATAATCATCATTCTCGTCATGCCTCATGCTCACCCTCAACATCCTCATCATCAGTAGCATCCTCGCCGTGTCCCATCATCATCTTCATCATTGTCCTACCCATCCTCACCATCATCCACATCATCATCCTCATGCAGCCGCCTTCTCCTCATCCTCGTCGTGCCTCGCATCTGAACTCGCATCTCCATGTGCACTGGTCTGCCTAGACCTGCCCATCTCAATGGGTTCCCCCTTTCGCCTGCTGCCTCGATGTTCGCTCTGCTCCAGGGGGTCCGCGAGAGGGGGCGGCACAGCTTGATCTGGATGGCTGGCACCCCTCCACCAGTCCCTCATCTGCGCAAACAATGGCGTCACTCCCAGCAAACACGCGGAAAACATTCAAAGACAAGCCACCTGCAACAGACATTCGAACCCCATCAAACGTCAGCGCCATACACTCCGAGCAACAACAAGGCATGGTGCTCACAGGTCTTCCCTTCGCACTCGATGATCAGACCACTCATTTCCAATCGAGGCCTCATGCGCCTCGCAGGGTGCACGGAGTCAACCAATCGAAAAAGAGGCCGAGCAACCAAGAGATCCCCCTGGCCCCCTAGCCGAGCTCGTGCCGCTGCAGCGCGAATCCCAGCTCACCTGCGGCCGCGCGGCTGCATGAGGGATGGGTCAAGTCAGTAGTCGAGCGATCGATCGATTACCAACCTGACCTCTGCCCGCCAGCCCTCGATCTATCGGCGCTCGCAGGTCCTGCCGAGGTCGAGCGAGCACGATGGGGAACGCTGAAATGCTGAATCGAGCGTGGCATGAAGGCATAGATCGGAGACGATGGCCTGTAACCTTGTCGGAGGGGTGATATTCGAAGCAAGCGCCCCGCCCTGGCTGGCCTCTATACGAAGATGCCATTGACATCGGGCACGTGGTTCAGCAGCACGCGATATATGAAGATCAGCAGCACGCGATGCACGAAGGGCAGCAGCACGCGCTGCGTCCCAGCAAAAACATTGGCGACTCCCTGCGCTGCGTCCCAGCAAAATCATTGGCGACTTCCTGCTGCGTCCCAGCGAAAACATTGGCGACTTCCTGCTGCGTCCCAGCGAACACATTGGCGACCCTCTGCTGCGTCCCAGCGAAAACATTGGCGACTACCTCCAGCTGCGCCTCGTCGGCCCGCCACCTGCCGGAGGCGGCGCCGCTCTCCCCCCCTCCACCCCGCACCTCCTCCTGCCTACATCCTCGTCTTGTTTCTCCCCCGAATCCCGCCTCACCGCCATCACATGCCACATCCTACGCCATCGCGTGTACCATCAGCATCAGCATCATCATCATCATCATCATCATCATCATCATCATCGTCATCATCAGCAGCAGCAGCATCCTCATCACCATCACCATTATCATCATCATCATCATCATCATCATCGTCATCAGCATCGTCATCATCATCGCCATCACCGTCACCATCACCATCAGCAGCATCATCATTAGCAGCATCATCATCAGCATCATCATCACACTTGACGTCGTCAGCATCCTCATCGTCGTCATCGCCAGCATCGTCAGCATCACCAACAATACCGTCGCCATCAGCATCACCACCAACAACATCAACATCATCATATTCATCATCAGTATCACCATCACCATCATCACCAGCACAACCACCATCGTCATCACCACTGGCATCGGCAGCATCAGCATCATCAGCATCATCAGAATCGTCATCATCACCAACATCAACAACATCGTTACCATCAGCAGCAACATCCTCATCACCAGCACCATCATCATCATCATCAGCAACGTCATCATCATCATCATCATCATCGTCGCCAGCATCATCATCATCATCATCATCATCGTCATCAGCCGTGGCATTAACAGCGTCATCAGAACCGCGTCTCACGGTCACCATCGCCATCATCGCCGTCAGCATCGTCAGTACCAGCATCGGCATCACCAGCATCATCATCACCATCACCGTTGTCGAACGCCCTTGCCACCTCAGAGCTGCTTAATGACGTTGAACCTGATGATCTTCGCCTGCTCTTTGTCGACCGTGCCGTGCTCAATGATGTGGTAGAAGATGCGGCCGATGACCTTGCGGCTCATGGCCTCCCTCGTGTCGCAGGCGTGCTCTTTCATGAGCTCCTCGCTCCACGTCTTGTCATCGACCTGGATGAGCTGCTTGTACTCGTTCTTGCCAACGATGCCCTTGACCCTGTACCCCAGCGTCATGAACCCCTCCGACTTGCGGTATTTGACCACGACCTCGTATTCGACCTCGTTGTCCACGACGGTCTCCTTATGCAGATCGGCTCCGTACACGCCGTCATCTGGTGGCGTCAGCACCAGCGCGTCTGCCAATGGAGTATCGTCCTCGGCCTGGTGCTCGTCGGCGTCTGGGTCGACCTCCGCGTCGACTTCGGGCGGTGTCTCCTCCTCGCCTTGCTCCTCGCCTTCCTCTCGCTCCTCGGCCTCGGGCTCAGGGCCACCAGCCGCCTCCGCGGCCTCCTCGGCCTCGGGCTCGGCTGCTTCCTCGGCCTTGGGTGCCGCCGCAGGCCTCTTGAGCGTCCCAGCTGGCTTCTTAGTCACAGCGGCCTGCTTTGTCTTGTCGTCCTGGGCTTTCTTCGCCGCGGCCAGAGCGGAGTGGCCAGGCACCTTGGCGGTCGCTTTCTTGGCTTTCGTTTTCGCGGCTACCACCTTCTTGTGCGTCGACGGCCCCGCCAGAGAAGGCGGGATCGAGTCAACCAGCGCCTCGACGCCGTGGGTGCCCTTGCGGGCGCTGTCCTCGGTGCCGCCAGCCTTCGCCCTCAGCTCCTTATTGGCTCGCTTCTCTTTCTTGCAGCTTTTCTTGTGCTTCTTCCTCCCCCGCTGAGCGCGACCTGTGAGGCTGTCCCAGAACGGCGCGCTGATCAAACCCGAGCTCGCTGCGCCAGGCGAGCGACGTCGGTCGACTTCCTCTGCCTCCACCTTCATGCGTTCCACGGCCTCCATTGGTACGTGCTCATCCTCCCCTCGCGTTTTGGATGGGGACCCTTGGGCAGCAGCTCAAGGGCGAGGTGGATCCGACGAAGGGAACGAGGAGGCAGAGGAGAAGGGGGGAGGAGGACACGCTCAGAAAGGCTGCAACGACCTTGGACAGCGATGACAGCGTTTTTCCAACGCGGCTGACCAGCTTCAGATACCAAGGATGGGCCGAAGGGGCAAGAATGCAAGGGTAGCGTTGGAAAGTCGTTAAGCCTTGCTTTGGGGGTTGACTGTGCACAACCACTGGCCTAACAGCAAACATGTCACGCACGTTACTGCTGCTGCTGCTCCTGCTCCCATCTCGTCCTCAGCCTGATAGTCCTCATCCTCGCCATCCGTCGCATGATCATCACCATCATCATCATCATCACAACGTCATCATCATCATCATCATCATCAGCAGCAGCAGCAGCATCATCCTTTCCAGCACCCTCATCCGCCTCATCTACGTCATTCATGCTGGCGACGGCCCTGTTGCGCCCCATCGTAGTCGCCATTGCCGCCGTCGTCATCAACATCGCCGTCATCGTCAACACCATGATCGTCAACATCAAGAGCATCGTCATCATCAGCATCATCATCATCGTCGTCGTCGTCGTCGATGTAGTCTGCCCCGTCATCATCACCAGCGGCGCCGTCATCAGCATCCTCAGGATCACCACCATAGTCGGCACCAGCACCAGCACCAGCATCATTATCATGGTCACCATCATGACCAGTATCATCAATATCGTCAGCATCGTTATCAGTATCACCATCATCATTATCACCATCAGCATTGTCATCACAGTCATCATCCTGGACATACCCATACTCATCATCACCACCACCATCATCATCATCGTCTTCATCGCCATTAGCATCAGCATCAGCATAACCACCATCACCATCATCATCATCACGACCATCATCATCATCATCATCATCAGCATCATCATCATCATCATCCAGCGGTGCACCCTTCCCCGCGCAGGTCGCCCCCCATTGCGTCCACGGGGATCTCCAACGACTCGTGTAGGTAGTGCATCAGCGCGATGTCGCTCACGTCTTCGACCTCCTCGTCGTCCTCGACCTGCCGCCCGCGCTGCCCCCAAGGAGAACAACATCACCGAACCCACAACCCATGATGAGACAACCATTGCACCACTTCGCCTCCTGCATCCCCATGTGTTGTGCCACTCATTCTCGGTGCTCCTTGTACATGCCCCTCTGCCTCCCCATCGCGACACTCCGCTTCGTCATCCTCGCGTTCTTCCTCACTTCTCCTCCTACTCCTCCTCGATGACATCCTTCATTCTGGTATAGGGTACCTCCTCCTCCTCCTCCTTTCCTCCTGCTCGTACCTCCCTCGCTCTTTGCTCCACTTGGCGCTTCCCTACGCCATTGCGACCTTCAGCTCAGCATTGCAGTCGCGAGCCTTCATCCTCTGGTGGTGGGCGAAGCCGATGCGGAAGCTGCGGCACAGCAGGAACCTCGCATGGCGCGATGACCCGAGAGTAAGACGAGGCGGAGCGGGAACGACGATGACGCGCAGTGGAGTGGCTGAGGAAGGACATTGGCGCGGCACACAACCAATAACAGGGAAATGAAGCTGTAACGAAATTGCCCCCTTCCCCTATCAGCATCATCATCCTCATCATCATCAGCATCATCATCATCGTCGTCATCAGCATCATCATCATCAGTTTCATCATCATCGTCATCATCATCATCATCACTAACCTCATCATCAGCAGCATCAGCATCGCCATCTTCACCCTCGTCACCAACACCATTAATTAGCATCTTCACCATCGTCATCATCATCCTCATCACCATCCTCCTCGTCATCCTCCTGTTCCTCCCCCTGGTCACCTGGGAAACCTGCCGTGACACAGAAAACGAACGTAGAATCGCGAAATCTGTTTCTCCTCATCCTACTTCTACTCCCCGACTCCTCCCGCCCCTCATCCTCTGCCCCGCGCTGACACGCCAGCCTGTGGCCATTCAGCACGGTCGACGTCGGGAAGCGGCCCTTCGTCGCCTTGTACTGCTCTGCCATCTTTTTTCTGTAGCACACGTCCCACACCGCCTGTGCTCAGCGTTCGGAAGGCGAGCGCGAGTGGAGCGGACGGCAAGAGGAAACGCAAGGGTTCATTCCAGACGAGGGGGTGGGGGAGGGGGGTCGGGCGAGAAGAGGGATAAAAGCATTAAGGTGTCTTGCCACTCGGGCGCAAGGACGAGCGAGCACGGGATCAGCATCATCATCATCAGCAGCATCAGCATCATCATCATCACCATCATCGCTATCGGCGTCATCAGCATCGTCACAACTACCATCAACCCCATCATCATCAGCAGCATCGTCATCATCACCACCAGTATTATGATAACCAGCATCCCCATCATCACATCATCATCGTCACTTCAGCGGGCCATCCGTGTTAAATTTTGGGCATACAAGGAGCACCTGTCGCCCCGATTTCGGTTATGTTAACAGTACTTGTCGCAACAGTGTGTGTCATCCTCCTCGTTATTTTCACTCCTGATCGTCCGTTAAGCAACGTCCCGCGGACCATTCGCATCACCAGCATCACCCTCGTCCCCCCCGTCGCCACCATCACCATCTGCATCGCCAACATCAGTCATCAGCATCAGCATCATCACCACCACTATCATCATTACCGCCATCCCCACCATCACCACCACCACCGTCAACAGCAGCATCAGCATCTGCATCATCTGCACCATCACCATCATCACGAACACACCCATCATCATCATCATCAGCATCATCATCATCATCATCAGCATCATCATCATCAGCAGCACCACCACCACACGAAACGAGGTACACAAGCTGATCCCTCCCGCAACGCGGCCTCCATATTCTTCTGGCTGATCCTCGCGCCGCTTGTGGCTTCTTCCACGGCGTCGTATGTTGTGCTAAACACCTGCCCTCGCCTCTCCCTCGCCCTCCCCATCGCCATGCCACCCCTCGCCTTCCCATAATCACCCCCACCCTCCCTTCCCATCCGCATCCCTCCTCCCCTGGCCCCTTCCACCCATACTACGACTACTACTACTACTACTACTACTACTACTACTACTACGACTACGACTACTACTACTACTACTACTACTACTACTACTACTACTACTACTACTGCTAGCACTACCACTGCCACTACCATTACCACTACCACTACCACTACCACCACCAGTACTACTACTACTACGCCTGTTACTACTACTACTACTACTGCTACTACTACAACTACTACTACTACTACTACTACTACCACTACTACTACTACTACCACTACTACTACTGCTGCTACTACTACTACTACTTCTACTACTGCTACTGCTACTCCTCATGCTTCGCTTGCCCCTCCCCATTACCTCTGCGCGCACATGCCGAGCGCAGCAATAATGATCCCACAACATGGCAATCCTATCAGCTGTCCACTGCGCCCACCCTCCTCCGCGATCCTCATCCCCCCCATCCTCTTCCCACTCAGCTCCCTCACCCTGGGAGCCAACAAGAGAGGCCCTCCCAGGCACCTTCAGCTGATCTTCTTTTGGGCGGTCGGCCGACTTCTCTGGAGTGCATGCGCAGAAGTTCGGAATGTTGTGGTAGCCTTCAGCTGGGGGAGGGTGAACTTGCACATCATTATCTTCTCGCCCTCATCCCGATCATGTCCTCATCCTCGTTGCAGTCGGGCTGCTGAAAAAAAGGAACGCTAAAGACTGAGCGAAGCCGCTCGCTGGCATCAAAAGAGCCTGGGTGCACGAGGAGGGCTAGAGGAAAGATAAGATAAGACGGTGGACATGAGCCTCGATGATTTCTCCCTCCTTCCATATCCTGATCCCTCACTCGTGTCATCCCTTTGTCCCTGACCCCTCCGCATCTTACTTATTCGCCCTCGTCGTTCATCGTCTTCACGTCGTCCCCGCCATCTTTCGCGTCGTCCTCTCACTCATCACCAGTTGCCCCCATCTTCGTCGCCGTGGCCATCCTCGTCGTCATCGTCCCAATCGTCATCCTCGTCATCGTCGCCATCGTCATCATCATCGTCGTGACCACCATCACCATTGTTCTCATATGGGTTGTCACCTCATCGTCGTCATCCTTATCATCCTCTCTATCCTCATCAAGGCTCCGCCCACCTTGCACCATCGGCACGTCGTCGCACAGGTCCTGGGTCATCAAGGCCTGAATCCGGCAGGGTCTCTCGTTTTCTTTCTCTCTCTCTCTCTCTCTCTCTCGCTCTATCTCTCTCGATCTGTACATTAATGCAGAACTGTGAATAGTACACGTCCCACCGTCTCTTCTGTGTTCGCGTATTTCAGCAATGTTGGTAGGTTATCCGTGTGTGACACCCACGTGCGTACACATATACATGTATATATACACCTACATACATATATACACCAAGCGTGCATCCACATACATATGTACACGCTTGTATCCGTAGTCATACACTTGTACACACATTCAAACATACATACATTCATACATACATCCATACATGCATGCATACATATATACATACATACACACATACACATACATATATATACATACACCCATACATACATACCTACATGCATATATACATACATACATACATGTATGCACGCACATCTACGTGCATGAATCAGTGTAGTCATGAGGGGTACATGTCGTGCGTGCGTGTGCTTGAACATACATGCCGTCGAGTATACTCCCTTCCTCCTCCCATCTCTGCCCCCATTCGCTCATCCATCTCTTCCCCTTTCTTTCTCTCCTTCTGACCATATTTCCTCTTGTCTCACCCCCTTGCTCCTTCCTCCTTTACCCCACCCTCCCTCCCCGCAATGGCCTTCGCCAGAGGATGATCGTAGTTCATGTCCACGATCTCGCACGTCTTGCCCCGTCTGGGGGTCTGCTTCATGGCCTGCCCACTGCGCGCGGGGCATCGGGGGAGGGCGGAAGGGAGGGGGTAAACGGCAGCGAGAAGGGGAGGAGGAGGAGGAGGAGGAGGAGGAGGAGGAGGAGGACGAGGAGGAGGAGGGGGAGGAGGAGGAGGAGCAGGAGGAGGGAGAGGATGGGGAGGAGGAAGAAGAGGAGGAGGAGATCCGAGGACGATGGGGAGGGGGAGGGGGGGGGGGACAATGAGGATGAGGAGGAGGACGACGAGGAGGAGGAGTTGTATAGGTTGAGGGAAGGAGAGCCTTCACCCACTCCATGTGCCGCCGATAGCGGTCCACGAACTCCTTCCGCCACGCCCTGCACAGCCGTTTCGGCGGCCTGGCGTGGTGCCCCATTTCGGGTTGTGCCCGCCGCAGGTTGGACAGGACAACGGGCTTCGGAATGTCCTGACACCCGCGGTCGGGGAAAGGAAGAACAGGAGGAGGCCGACGACGAGGGGAGGGGACGGGGCTGGAGGAGGAGGAGGGGGAACGGGAAGAGGGATGAGGTCATGGGAAAATAAAGGATTGAGGCGATTCCTCGGGGTCCCACACTGGGATCCCCGCGCGATCGCAGCCCTGATCGAAGAGGGCGACGGTCTGCGCGGCGTCCACCATATTTTGGGCTGGCCTGGCGCGGGGACCCCAGTATGTCCGCCAATCTCGATCCCCTATCCCACCATGGTGGGATAGAGGGTCGAAATTGGTGTTCAGTTTCCCATCCCCCCCCATCCGCGCCTTCTTGGCGAGCGCCCCGCGCGGTGCGGGGGGGGGGCGCGGCTGGCGCGCGCCCGACACGCTAAGCGTGCTCGACTGCCTCGGAAGAGGCTGCGCCGAGCAGCGCGCGCGCGAGCGCGGGCGCGAGCTGAGGCGGAGGAGCCCCGAGGAGTAGGTGGAGGAGGGGGGGGAGGAGGAGGAGGAGGAGGAGGAGGAGGAGGAGGAGGAGGCTCGAGGAGGAGGAGGAGGAGGAGGAGGGAGAGGAGGCGGGGGAGGAGGGGGGGAAGGGGGGGGGCAGAGGACGAAGACACCGAATGAAGAGGAGGAGGGGGAGGAGGAGGAGGAGGACGAGGGGGAGGAGGAGCCTCCAGTGGGCGGAGGGAAGGGGGAAGCGCCAGGGGGAGGGTCAGGTTTGTTTTGTTGCTGTTTTGTTGTTAGGTCGCCCGCGCGCGTGATCCACGCGGCGCGAACACTTGGAGATCCAACATCCATGCGCGCGCGCGCGGGCGACGCGTGTCACCCGCGCACGCCGCTCGTGATTCTAGGCCAGCGTTGTGTTGCCCACTCATGGCTAATGTATGTTAATTTGGAAATCCAATCTGCCACCGTTAAGGTTTCACTTTAGTTTCCAGGTCAACTTGGCGACTTTTCCATTGTGGGCACTACAACACTTCGCGGTGAAAAGCAACTGTGGTATTTGCAGCCTGGGCCTCACCATGGGATCACGCATTGTGAACTTAACAACGCACTGGTCTTATTGCGTTCGCGCGCGGGCGGCGCCATGCGAAAATAGCACACTAAAGCTCACGGGTGACACGTGCCACCCCGAAAATTGAATGTTGAAAACCAATTGTTTCACTTGTATTCTGGGCATCGCAATGAAGTCATACATGATGAAACGGCGCATTTTTCTCATTGCGCGGGGGTGCGCGCACGCTCGCGAGTGGCGCCGTGCGAATAACACATGGGTGACACGAGCCACCCCGAAAACTGAATGATGAAAACCAATTGTTTCAATTGTATTCTGGGCCTCAACATGAGATCATCTATATATATATGTGTATATATATATATGTATATGTATACGCATATACATACATACGCGCGCGCGTGCGCATCGAGCGACCCCATGCGACAACAAATGCGAAGCAGCGCGTGGGTGACGCGTGTCACCTCTGAGCTTCACTTCTATATTATTCACCATGAGTAAATCTACATTTAATTCCAAAAACGAAATCGCAAATTTCTGGGGCCCTTTAAGGAGGCTGAAGGAACGCGTCGGCTTTTTATATCTTTATAATACAGAAATGAAGATGTCTCAAGCGAAACAAACAAATAGCGAAGCTCAGGCGCGCCGCCGCGCGCGCGGCGGCGCCCCGATAAGCTTCACTTCTATATTATTCACCATTAGTAAGCCTACATTTACTTCCAAAAACGAACTCGAAAATTTCTGGGGCCCTTGAAGGAGGCTGAAGGAAAGCGTCGGCTTTTTATATTTTTATAATACAGAACTGAAGATGTCTCAAGCGAAACAGACAAATAGCGAAGCTCAGATGCGCGCCGCCGCGCGCGCGGCGGCGCCCCGCTAAGCTTCACTTCTATATTATTCACCATTAGTAAGCCTACGTTTAATTCCAAAAACGAAATCGAAAATTTCTGGGGCCCTTTTAAGGAGGCTGAAGGAACGTGTTGGCTTTTTCTATTTTTATATTACAGAACTGAAGGTAGGAAGCGCGCGCGCGCGGTGACCGGGCCACCGCGCTTGTATTCTGAGCCCCAACCTGAATTTATGCATGCGCGCATGCGCGCGTGCTGGGTGGCCCACCCGAAAACTGAAGGGTCAAAACCATGCGGTTCATTTATAGTCTGGGCATCAACATGAGATGATCTATGTGCAACAGTACAAGCTAGCCTTCTTGCGCGTGCACGCGTGCACGTACAGGCAAGTAGGAGTTGCTCTTGACGGACATTGGGCCATCTAGAGAAAATTGAGACGTCCTGAAGAAAATTGAGACATTGCGAAAGAAATTGAGACATTGCGAAGGAAATTAAGACATTGCGATCTGCGGTCAAGAAATCGAGCGTGCGCCCAGAAATCAAGTCAAAGCGTCGTCTCAATTAAATTGAGACGCCAAGATCTCAGGGCGCTCGCAGCACGCTTCCTCGATGCTGCCGGTGGCGTCGCCGGGGCGCCCGCACGTGGACCTGCCATGGCCACGTCTGCGCCGGGTCCTGCCGCGGCGCCTCCTCCGCTGCTGGCCGCAGCGGCTCCTCCGCCGCT